TGCTACAAACACTGAATAGCTGATTAAACAACAAAAACGACGTCAGCGAATTAATCATATGGAGATTAGCAAACTTACCACGTTAGCGAGAATATATAAAAAAAGACTGGTCTGTGCCCGCGTCAGACAAATCGTAAAAATTAGAGAGCTACTTCCACAAGAAATCGATAAGAAATCGATAAAATCGATATTCGCCAATCGATAAAGCCACATATCTCCCACTATTTCAAGGCTACTGTGACAGGTAGGCTGTTGGCAATATCCTTCAAATATCGGAAGTTGCCACGCCCACCGCCGCAGCCTCCAGGCCTCCCGCCCCTACAAAAATGACATGTCTTTATCGTCCGTAGCTTTTGAGTCAGATCCGTAAAAGTTGCTAGATATATTACTGGTAGCAGCGTTTAAGAACCGATAATAAACTTTTAAGGCCACGCCAACAGCTACGCCCATAATCGCCAATGCTGATATTTCGGACAGTGTAAATCGATAAGACCGCATATCTCCCACAATTTTAAAGATAGAGTGATCAAACTTGGAAGGTAACGTACTTACCTCATTCAAAGATTTGCATATACATTTTTAGACCACACCCATAACCATCGTCCGCAAGAGTTGCGGCAATAAAAATCTTAAATGCGCATATCTTCACACAATTTGTAAGCTAAAGTCACAAAATTTTGACCGTATATTACTGGTAACTCCTCTAACAGATCGATAAAAAATTGGATGGCTACGCCCACTCCAACTCTCTAAACTGCTACACATGTTCGTGTACATCGAATAAAACCATATATCGCACCCAATTTGAAAGCTAGTGTCACAAAATTTGAAGGGTACATTGCTAAAAGTTAAAGTTAAAGTTTTTCATCACAAAAGAAAACATAATATAGCCGCCAATAGAAACAATCGAGATATCCATCGAAGTACAAAAATAGAAGATATTAAGATACAAAAGAAGAGTTGGCAGCTTAACTCCGATTTAGAAGGATATATATTCTTCGGCGCGTCTAAGACGGGTGTTGTTCCTTTTTGATATTTAAAGTCGCATTCGTTTCTTTATAAATTCAAAAGGATGTTTAGTTTAATTGTCTGTTCAACTGCCGCATGTTGCTTATACGCCACGAATGTGGTCCACCATAATAGAAGAGAAACTGGCAGTGTTAGTTATTCAGTTTATATAATATATGTTTATTGATTGTTAGGCTTAATCAGAGAATACATAAATTGTTAAGTCTTACCCAAACTCGTAATCGGAATGCGAAAACTGCAACGACGAATTCTTGTTAAATGCTGAATGTTAAATTAAACATAATTTCGAGGCGCATTTAAGGGAGCGACTAAAGATGATAAATGGTCGACGACTGACTATGGCAATAATATAGCCAAAAAAGCCAATTGCGACTAAGACCCAATGGCCCATCGGTCCACAGACCCAAAGCGACCGGGAGACCCACAACACGACATAAACACCAACAAAAAAACATTGAGACAGCAATCAGCAGCCGCGTGGGTGGCCCTGGATGGCCCTGGGTGGCTGTGGGTGGCTGTGGCGCCCCAGATGATGCGTATGCCGAACGCTTTGTCAGTCAGTCAGTCGCTTAGTGAGTCGAACAAATTGAGCTACGAGACTCACAGACCAAAGCAGACAACTTGCAAACTCGTCAGTCAGCCAGTCAGTCAGGAAGAGTGCGTTTAGTGAAGGAAAACGCTTGTAAAACTAACGATAAGCGTCATGTAATTTGTGATACGGCCCCAAGTGTGTGTGTGTGTGAGTGTGTGTATGTGTGTATATGCGTATGTGTATGTGTATGCGTATGCGTATGTGTAAATGTGCGTAAACAAACTCGCATTATAAGGCAGCAAATTGATTTATTGTAGTTTGTTTATATTATCGTTTATGCAAAAAGGTGCCGGCAACCGAATTGGGCTCAGGGCGGTGACCTATTTGGTCAGTAAACTTGAAAAAGTTCGTTAATAACTAGACAAATACATATTTATACTTACAAACACACACACACACGCACAACTGCTATCTGATTTGTTTTCAAAAAGGCAGCCAAAGGGTTATCGTTTTGGTTAGTGTGTAAATATTCAATTAACTTTGTTTTGTTAAAATTAAAGTCCACTTTGTTTTATAGAATTCTTCAGGCAGGCACATTTTAGGAATATCTTACATAGCATTTATTAATAACTTTGCGACCCGACAGACCGACAGACGTTATTCTGTTCAAATGCATTTGAAATATGTACAAAGTTACGGCTGTGATAAGTTTTAATCCAAGGCTACAATCTTAAAATAATCGCCCTGAAAATAAGATAAATTTTTTTACAATAAATTAAATGCTTTTAAAATTAAAAATGTGTGAATATAAAAACTATCTAAAATGTTTGCTAACTTTGGTAAAACATCTCCCCATAAATTAGAAATATTTTGTCTAAAGATTTTTAAAATATCCCTGGCTTTATGAAAAGGACAATTTTTTTCCGTTTTATACTCCCTGCATAATAAGATGAATTACCAATTACCCTTTTAAGTTAAAGGAAATAAATGGCGATCTTGTAATGCATTTTTGAGGTCAAATTTTTGCATAAATTTAAACGAAAATTTCATTTGATTGGCAGTTACTATGGTAGATATACGATATAGTCTTCAAACGGGATACAAGGATGTATTTGTGTCTATTGTGTTTATTGGAAGGATTTTAAAATTGGAGATTGCTTTTGCTCACAAGGCTCAGTTCAGTTTTGTGCAACAAATGAGTGAATTGGTGTCCTGCGCTTCACATTTACTTTAGTTTTAGGCCCACAATCTGCCCTCACACACACACACTCACACACACACACTGACCAGACTATGTGGTGTGCGTGTGTAGCACTGCAATTGTGGGTCACAGACTGCATCGTCGAGGACGGGACAGTGGCGGAGGATGACTGTGGGTCTAAGGCTCTGTGCCATTGGGACATATTTTACATTTAATGCAGAACATTTGTCATGTGGTTGGCGCATTTATTCAAAGTATTTGCTGCAATTTTAATGCCAAAATGAGAGCACAATTTCAAAAACCAAATGTGCACGACAATCTCCAGCATCAGCTCCAGCTCCAACTATAGCGAGTCACATTTTATGTGCCTGCGTCTGGGTCACTATTTACAAATGAATTTATGCGAACATCTGTATGCGTACATATGTGTACATATGTATATATGTATATATATATATATACATATGTGCGCAAGTGTGACAGTGTGTAATTTTCGCTTTAATACGTAATTGTTGTAAATGTGCTGCAAGCGCAACTGACAATATGCTGAGAGCTGTCTGATTTATGCATATTAATACATGTATAAAGTTAAATGTATGTACGTATGTATGTATGTAGTTTCAGCGGCTCGCAGGCGCTCGAAAAAATAATATACATATATATATGTATATGAATATTGACATTGTAATTTGTAGCATATGCACTAAAAAGGCAATATTATAAGTAGTTATATGTAAGTTCTTGACTGAAGATCATTTTGATTAAATTTTAACTGCCATTGTGTTTTGTTTGTTCCATTTTCAATATTTTTGTAGAGCTACTTGGAGATGACACAAAGTGAGAGAAGGACATAGAGAAGGCAATTATCAAATGAAACTCTTCTAAGATAACGATCCCAAAGGCCATCAATAAGTAAATGTGCATATACTTGAAATAAATTCGCCTAGATGTGCATATAAGTAGCCCAAAATAAGAACAGCAAACAGTGCAACAACACCAGCAGCAACACCAACAAAAACAATAACAACAACAACAACAACTACAACAACAATAATAATAACAATAACAAAGCAACAACAAAATAAAAGAAATAATCACAGGCTATCAAATTCGATTTCCAAATTGAATTTTAAATGCACCAGCACACAGACACAATCACTTCTCAGTGATTGGCAGCAAAGTGCAGAGCAGGAGGGGCTTGTGCAACAAAGGTGAAAGGGACGCAAGAGGAGCGAGCGGCAAGTGGAAGGACATAACGACAATATTTGCCATCAGAATCGAATTGAATCGAAGTAGTGACAAGGCAACAACTACTTGTTAGCTAGACAAAGTAATCAAAAGTTGCCAAGCAGCAAAAGCAGCAGCAGACGGGCGAAAAACGCATCGAGAGCCGTAAACCAGTTCCGGAAATATATAAAAAAAAAAAAAAAATTAAATAACGGAAGCGTTCGCTCGATAGCCAACATCAAATGGAAAAGTTTTAAAAAGAGAAACTCAAGGAGCGGGCAAATCACAAACGAGACTCGCCGCACAAGTTCATACATACTACATATTTATGTATATATGTAAAACAATTGTGGCATTGCAAAAGAAGTAACAATCACCAGCAACAATCAATCAGATTCCGTTTCGAATCGAATACTAAATCACATACCAAACAAACAAAATCAATTTCTCGGCGTTGACAGCTTAAATAGTCAAGGTCAACGGCCGCCGCCAGGAGATGTCACAAATGTGGGCAAGCAGCCGTTGCTTACAAACACCTTACCGTGCCGCAGACAGAGCCTGAGACGGTCCGCAGACCCTTCCGTCCACGCCACACCACACCACACCACACCACACCACGCCACACCAGACCACATCATACCACACCACACCACGGCACGCCACGTTACCGACTTTCTCGATTTCCGGCCAAGCAACCCCACAATTCCACACCCCCACACCTCCCCCTGCGACCGGGCCTACTACAACACCTGAAACAAGGAGAAAAAGAACATTTTTGATAAATGGTCGCCGAAAGTAAAAAAATTTTGCGGCAAGCCAGAAGTAAAAGTTTCCGCCTTCTTGCAAAATTGAAAGGCAAGTAAGGTGGCTCAGATAAGGGGCAGAAACAATAATAATAACAACAACAATAACAACCGTCCCATCAGGAACAGAAGTGGCGTTAGCAAGCATCAGCCTCGACTTTGATAACAGCAACAACAACAACAACAAAAATACCAAAGAAAATAAAATCAAAAAGGAAAAAACCAGAGAGGAAAACAAAATAAAAAACAATTGCCGTAGAAAATTGTTTTCGTTGCCGTTCCGTCACCCGTCACCCGTCACCCGTCCGCTGTCCGCTGACCGGGTGGTGCCTCTGGTGCTGGGTTCTGGTTATTGATTCACTGTGCCGCCTGATCGATGCGCCATATGTCTGCCTAACGGACGCTGCCACTTTGCCAGTTGGCCGCATGCCACAGGTTGAGGTTGCGCTTGAGATTGGCAATTGAGTTTCTCTTTTTATTTTTACTTCAGCTCGCATTTGAGTTTAAATTTGCGTTTTGTGCTGAACGGAGAGATTGAGTGATTGCAACATCATAGAGACACTGATAGCGACAGATGAATGGCAATCGATCGAGCTCCGTTTGATCGAATGAATAAATGAATGAATGGCCTCAATTGGCTTTTAACTGCTGCCCACGACAGGAAGCAAACGGAAGCAAAGCAAGGAGTATTGCCGTTTCCCAAATTAATATACTTAACTCAACCAAATGCGTCTCATTGTGGCCATAACGAGAATGAGTTCCCAACGGACACACGCATCGAGAACAGCCTGGCTGGCCTATGCCTATGTCCTCAGATTTCTAATACTGCTGCCAGGTGAGTCAGCCAACCACAAATTTCTTTATCCAATTGTATCTGATTACATGCTTCATTGTTAATAGTCAAGTGAACCCGGCTGTCTAATTATCAACTCGAACCAATTAAGTTAAGTAGCCTGTCGTTAATTGTTTTGTGGCAATTCTACTTTAGCTATCTGGAATGTTATTTGCAAATGTAATTAATTTAATTACATTAGTAATTGGGTTTTTTTCTTTCCAATTTCGAAGTATTTTCATTAGATGCATCCACTTACACAGAATACCGGAAACCTATACTTGAGAGCGGAAATTAGCTATGCCAAGCTTCAGCCTAAGAGCTAATAAAATTTAGACATTTATAGTTGCCGAAAAGTAATTATTATCAATAACGGATAGGGCTATAGTGATGATTACTTTCATTACATAACATGTTCTTGCTTGCTCTAGATGAGTTAATTGTCATGCTGACTTACCCTTAATACTATTATGCTACATACGAGTAGTGTCAAATCAAGTGAGTTTTATAATCATTCCGATATCCGATCAAAGTGCTTATTAGTAACAGCAGAATAAGACAGTCCATTTATATTTTAAGTGTTTATAAAATGACTTCAATTTTAATTGATTTACTTGAGCGCCCGTAAGTGTGCCATTTTTGTAAGTAATCGTTGCAATCCTCAATTGGGTGAAATTATCACAAAGTGTCCACAAGTACCCAAAATTACCTACATATGTGCAAATATGTGCATCTCCATATTTATGTATATAAACACACACACACTAACGTGAATGAGCATATATTTTTCTTGTTGTTTTGCTCAGCTGAGAAAATGTTGTGTCCAGCGCATAACGGGAGGTCGTAACAAATGTTTATTACGCATACGCAGCGTTAATACTTGCGGCAGTGTCATTTGGTGCTTGATGCCACATGTCGAACTATTGCCTGCCACACTTTTGGTGCTCGGATGCTGATAACCGCTGGCTGATTGCTGATGGTTGATGGCGGATGGCGGATGGCGGATGGGTAATGGGTGTTTGTGAATGAAAGTCTGCTGATTCTGATTCTGACGACTAGCAATTTGTTTATTTGATTGCACGCGCTGAGCGATGGGACGGGCACAGGCACTGAAACAAGCAACAAACATCGTTGTCGGAACGAAGAAACTGTTTGCCCGATTGCTTAGCACAAATCAAAATCAGCTGCGGCAAATGGCACGACAAATAAAGTGCACCCGCTATTAGCAACGTTCTGAGTTGCAAGTTGCAAGTTGCAATTTGCAAGCTGAGATCTGCTGCTGCTATACGCAATAGCTGCTGCACCCAATTGACAATCATTCAAAGTTAGCTGGCAAGCAAATTTGGGGCTGCTTTACATTTCGAACATTACGACAATTAGATTGATGCACCAAGTCGAGCAAAACTTGGAAACTCGCTCAGGAAACGAGTTCAGCACCCTGCTGTTATTCATGGCTTTGGAAAGGTCTTGGAAGGATGGCATACATACCGATATGTGTGTATATAGTTTTAAATGATGCCACCAGCATAGGAGACTGACTGATACAGAAAGATGTAAATGTAGCTACTACAAGCAAGTAGATGTTCCCCTCGAAGAGCGTTACTCAGGGCATTAATCACTTGAAATTGCTGAGGCTAGAGCATCTGGAGGTTCGGTGCAAACCTCATCATCATTGTTAATGCCAATGTTTTGGAGGCCATTTGCATAAGCCTCAGCAGCAACTGAACAGAACATTTCTCTTTCGTTATTGCTCAGTGGGTCTATTCAAAATGTTGGCTGTTCTCCGCATGTTGGTTATGCATAAAACAACTTTTGAGGCACGTTTCAATTCATTTTGGCCAAACTGCTGTGGGCTATTCAGCCAGCAGAGCCCCTCAACCCCATCTTAGCTATAACAAAAATGTTTCGGACCTACTTGCAAATAACTCTCGTCGCTGTATTGCTTCAAGTATTTCTGCATATTTTCTGTATGTGTTTTCTTTCAGTTTTATGAATATTTTGCACACACACACACACACACACTCACATATTTACTTGTATGTTATTATATAAATTCCAGTCGGCTTTTTTTTTTTTGTATTCTCTTGCTGAGGGTATTTCAGTTTTGAAGTCATTACGTGTACGTATGTGTGATAGAGCGGTGTACAGCAATAAGAAAGAGATCAACGTCAGACTCTTCGGATGCTGTTATATACCATATGAACTATGGGTGAGCTTTTGCTCGTTTGCAAGAGTATAAAGTGTTCGGCGTGTGGAGGATAGCTATTCTTTAATGCTTTTCTCAGTTATATTTTTGTTGCTTTTGTCAACCCGGTTCTTATTTTTCGCCATATTTTTTGTTTTTGCCAAGTTACACATTTTGCAGCATACCGTCCCAGTTTCCCATCCAGACTGACATTCCCATCCACAGTAAGACTCACTCTCATAGCTACATGCTGGTGCCTGCTGCCTGCGGCACGGTGCCAGGTGGTAAATTCTGACCTCGCTTAATATGCATGCTAATTTTGAGCTCCCACTGCTCAAAGAAACAGCGACAGGGACATGGACACTGAGTGGCACTGTCACCAATCCCAATCCCAATCCAAATCCTAATCCCAATCCCATTTACATTGCCTGTTTTTGACCTAACCGCGGTAGCAGGGACAATCCCAATGCTTACCTCTAGGGTATCTTATTCACTGGTTGCCCCAATTTTATTATAGGCATAAATATTCATGAATCAATGCCCATTCTTTATATCGGTAGCAGTAACTGGAATAAGTGTTACTTGTTTTTTTCCCGATAAAACAATGCAACAAATTTCATCATTACAATTTACACAGCTCATAAATTCGCAATTCGTTGCTACCTTTGCTATCGGAAAGAGTATGAAAAATATATATGTGAACTCTAGCATATTCAATTATTATGCCCTTCCAAAGGGTATTTGAATTTTGTTGTGAAGTGTGAGTGGACGAGACATATTCAATCCAATAAGGTACATAGATTCTTGATGGTTTTTCTTTTCTTTTCTCTTCTTTTTTTTTGCTTAGATGAGCAAAACTTTCTCATACAAAATTTTACAGTAAAAACTTTCGTTTAAACGAACTGTGTTTTTATTGTGAATGTAACTTTAGGCCTTTTATGTCCCATTTGTGAATGTCCCTAAGAAAATTCTGCCCTTGTTTTGGTCCCAAAAAAAAAAAAAACAATTGAGAACGTTGCAGTCAGGCGTAACCGACTGCGAAATACTCTGATACCATAATTAATGCCTTCTGATAACAGGTGCCACAAAACAGGATGGGTGAAGCCGTGAAATACCGGTTTTTGACGAGTGAGTGAAAAAAATTACAGAAAATGTTCCTAGTATTTTTCTTTCCAATTTGGTTACTTTAGCTCTTAAATTAAGAGAACGTTTCTACTAATCTTCCTTCCAAGTTTTGTAACTGTTGTTACTAAATTACGGCTTACATCGGCTTCTGGGAATTTCGGAGGCGGAAGTGGGCGTGGCCTAAAAAATTTTGTAGTTCTGTCTAAGTAATCTTCCTTCCAAGTCTGGTAACTGTTGTTCTTAAATTGCGGGAGGTATAGGCTTTGATTGTTTTGGGGACTGAAGTGGTCGTAGTCCAAAATTATATTTCCAGACTTTTTAAGGGTTAAGGGTTTCACGCAATATACCTCTCAAATTTCTTGACTTTCGCTGTCAAATTTTGTGATATATGGTTTTATCGACTAACACTAACAGGTGTAACGGTTTGGGGAGGCAGAGTAGGCCTGACCCTCTAAATTTTTATCGATTTCTTAGGGTAGTTACCAGTAACATTCTTTCAAAATCTTGTGACTCTAACTTAAAAATTGTGGAAGATCTGCGCATTTCAGATTTCTTTGGTCAAAGTTTCTGGGGGTGGTGAGTGTGGGCGTGGTCATAAAAATGCATATGTTGATCTTTGAAAGAGATTACCACCTCTTTTCCGTCTAAGTTTGGTGACTCTATCATTAAAATTGTAAAACATATGCAGTTTTATCGACTTACACTTTCCGAGCTATCGGAACCTACCAACCGGATTTGGCAACTGTAACCATATAATTTTGGGAGATATATGGCTTTATCGAGTTGAAAATATCGATTTACTAGTTGACTAATTTGTACACGTTGTCTGACACACAGTCCAGTATATGTTCAAGTTTCGATTGCCTAGCTTTAAGGGTGTCGAAAAAGTTGACGGACATACCACAAATCTGATATACTATGATACCTTCGGTATCAGAGTATAAAAAAAAACTTTATGAAACGTGCAAACGTTTAGGCATCGAAAATATGTATTTTGATCCTACTTTAGGCTGGCCCAAAACTTTGCAATGATCATACAATTTGTACATTAAAAGTTACTAGGACTAGGAGAAAAATTTTGGGATATCGACTATTTATACCAAACAAATCAAAAGGTTAAGAATAGATTAACTAAACTGAAGAATGGTAGTATAAGTGGGTCGGGACCCTTTGATTCGTAGCTCTTTTGGTGTGGGAGTGTTCTTGGTGACACCACAGTGCATCATTTAAAGGGCTAAGGGGACAGATTGGTGGTAAAGGGTTTCCGCTTAAATATTATGGATTATTTATATTATGTTACATCTTTATTCCTTAATATTATATTATATTCTTCATTTATCTGTTTTTTATCCAGGTAGATGAACTTATATGATGAATATATTTGTTTAGCAAATTTTTGTATTTATATTTTGTTGTTTGTTTATTTAAATTGCATTTAATTCTTTTCTTTATTATGTGTGTTCTTTTTTTTTCAAATCCTTTAAGTTGTTTTCTGTTGTGGGTAATTTAATCAATTAATTCAGTTTTGTTCTTAATTTTCAATCTTCTAATATTGCATAATTTATTAAATTATAATAGCAGTGCAATATAATAATACAACAGTTAAATGGAGTATTAAGTAATTATAACTATGAAATGGAATGCTTAGTAAAGGTTATATGGGTGAACTTTATTTTAGTAGTGACTGTAACGT